AAACACAAAGCAAAACAACCAAACAACAAACAAAGAAAAAAAAAAGTAGAAAAAAAGCTCGGGTTGCCTCCCGAGAAGCGCTATTTTTTAACGTCGTGTGCCCGACGCAACCACCACATCAAAAACTCAGTCGGAACACTCCCGCTCAAAAAATTAGTCTTCCACAAATCAAACCTCCTATCAACAAATGCCCTGAGATGGCGTAAGACCTTAAATTCATGAAAACAAATACGCATCTCAGGGTCACCTGTAAAGCAAAAGAATGGATCGTGGCCTTTATTAGGCCCTTTAGCAAAGAATGGGTCAAAGAATGGACAACTCCCTTTCATGTCAAAAATTTTCCAAGCTAGAGCTTCCCCTTGTTCACTAAGTAAATTAAAACATGCTGATTTTTGAGATGACTCAAGCCCGGATGCAAGAAGAATTCAGGAACTTCAGGGCTATTCTATTAGGACACAATTAACGACACCGCGCACCGCGCAGCCGAAACCGCACACCGCGCGGTCCAGAAATAGCCCCCAGAAGGTATAGCATTGAGTAAAACTATGGCAGTGTAGTCATCTATATGTTTATCCCCAGCCTGCTTAATGTTTTGGATTAGTTTATTAAAAACATCTAGGTTTTCATCAATATCTTTTGTTAGGTCAAGTCTGAACCTAAAAAACTTTTCCAACAAAAACAGTTTGCCAGGAAAGGAAGTATCAGTATATAGAGACTCAAGTTTGTCCCAGAGGGCTTTGGCAGACTCAATGACTCCAACCTTTCTAAGGACAGAGTCAGACAGGTTTAAGTATATAGTTGAGCAGGTTGTTTCATTCATTTCAACTTGTTTAGGTTTATCCTCAGACTCTAAGTATTGTCCAGTAACAGCTCTATACACTTTCTGTTGAATTAACACACATTTTATCTTCTGTTTCCATATATCGAAGTCATTCTTACCATTAAAAGGCATCATACCATATAGGTTTGAAGTCATAATAACAGTCTACACACCAAACTGCTGAGATACAGGTAATATAAATGCTAACTCTAGTGGTTTAGGCCGCGGACTAAGTGACCACGCAGTTCCGGGGCCACTGAAGTGGCTGGCAGGGAATCACTTAGCCCTAACCTCAGTTGTCTTAGCCAGCTAGCTAGGGGTTAGAAGCCACATTATTACCAGAACTCAAAAAATAGAAATTGACAAGACTGGATTGATCAGAAGAATAACAAAATTAACACAACAGTAATAAGGCACACTACAACAATATTGAGAGATGTTCAGAGGCAATAGCACATAGGGGTGGCAAATTAAAGATTAATACACACAGGAAGTCAATTTAATAAGCCAATCAAAGTTCACAAATAACCAGTGGCCAAGTTCGACACAGATTGGACCACTCATGCACAATCGAACCACACCTAGGGTTTCTACAGATCTGTACTAACAGATACTGTACATGCAAGGGTTTATCTAGGGTTTCTACTCGGCAGACCTATAACCTAGGGTTACAGATCTACCCATGCAGCACAGAAGCCGGTGGCACTCCGACAGCCCAAGATTAGGGTTTAGCTTTTATACCTTAGCGAGTGTCACTGAGAGACAACCCGACTTACCAATCTCCGATGGAGCTCCAGGCGTTACCAAGTGTGGGAGTTAAAACTCAGATGGAACCGACACTCTCTCACTCTAGGTCTAGGGTAACTGACAGAGAAGCTCATCGGTTAGAGAGAAGGAGGAGCGGGTGAAATAGGAGATTCAAGAAGGAACAAGACAAGCATATCAAGGGCCACATAAGTCACGGGCTGGGTAGAAAACAAATAGGGCGAGTGGGCTTGGTCGGGTAGGCAGCCCAATTGGGCCAGAGCAATTAATAGGAGACCAACTCCTTAAATGAGGTGGACCAAAGGCAACTCAGGGATGGCCCGGGTGAGGTGGACCAATACCATCAACAATGCTTATTTGGACGTTTTACTTGAATAAAGATTAACCAAGGTATATATACATCTACGGAGTATTTACTATCTTAATTCTGGCACATCAGCACATGACATATAACTCCAGGGTCTTAGATAGGCAGTGCATATTTACCTATAGGTGACATTGTGGTCGTGAGACGACGGTGTTTGTGAGTTTTAAACTAATTATCCCTACTAAGATGATAGGGGGGCAAAGGCTTGATGTACAAAGATAATAGCTCGAGAGAATTCTCTAAATAGGAGTAAAAATGTTTTGAAATTCCAAAATAGAACTATCATGTTTTTTATTGCCTCAATATGAGTATATTTGTGACAAGTTTGGCATTACTAGGCTTTAAACATGGCATGTTTTTCCAAACTTGGCAGATTACTTCTATTCAATTCAGGGAATAAAAAACATGATAGTCCTATTTTAGAATTTCAAAACGATTTTACTCTTATTTAGGGCAAATTCTGTAGCTCTAAACTTGGACAACCTATTTTTTTCTGACATTATTTATTGGCACTTAATTCATCTTAAACATCAATGAAAAACATGTTTGTACCAAACCGAAAAATAGTACTCTGTATGATTTTTGTAATGATTTGTTAAGAATTGCTAATTCTTCAAATGTGTTAAAAATCAAACTAAAACCGATAAAAAACCGAACCCGGATATATCTACGGTAAAATACATCCTACAGCCGGCTGTACCGTGCGCACGGTACAGCCGGGCTTTTTTGGCTTTTGCGCTTCTTCCCGTCGCACTAAGAGAACACGACCCGGTTTCGTCCAAGAAGTTTCTCACCTGCTTCTTCCCTGAATCGATCCGTAGCGTGGCCCTGAATCAAGCTGAGAAAGATTGCTGAGAGGAGAACGATCGGCTTACCATAAGATTCTCACTGAGATCTAATACTCTCACCAAAGTATTAAATCTACCCCATTATCACTCTCCACCGCACATCTGACATCCTTGTTGCAAATAACAAAACTGTTATCTAGCAAGCATGAGAATATGGTGACGACATACCTTGAGGGGCTAAAGGAGAGTGGGGGCAACCGCGCATATCAGCTCCATGGCCCCAATAATAATATGGTGCATCAAATATATACTCATTTCATATTAGTGTAATACTCATTTTAAAATGTTACATTCATGCATATTTCAAAATGAGTTTTATTTTACAAATGATTATAACACCCAAAATGAATGAGCACACACAAATGAACTTTTTAATATTTTGATGCTCATTTGGTGAGTTATGTATACTCATTTGATATTAGTGCAATACTCATTTTAAAATGTTACATTCATGCATATTTCAAAATGAGTTTTATGTTAAACTCAAATGATTATAACACTCAAAATGAATGAGCACACACAAATGAGCTTTTTAATATTTTGATGCTCATTTGGTAAGTTATGTATGCTCATTTGGTATTGTTTTATGCTCATTTTACAAAGTTGCACCTGTTAAACATATTATACTACATTAGATTCACATATTGAAATTAATTATAAACAAAATTTAAGAATTTTTTTATAAAACGAAAAATTAATAAAAAGAAATTGAATTAGAAGATATGAAACAGAGATCATTGTGCTCATTATTAGGCTCCTAATACTCAGAAGAACCAACTTTATGCTCATCAAAATTACATCGATGCTCATTTAAGAGAAACCATGAACTTCATCAAATTTACAAAAATGCCACCGGCTGTACGGTGCCAACCGTACAGCCGGCTGTATGATATACGCTTCCATATATCTACCCCTAAATTCTCTTTGCACCCGATTCTCCATTATGTAACTTCTTACCTAACCAATAGGTGATGCCTAAGAGAAACTTTAGAATGAATTGTTTATTATCAGTGAGAAATAGTTTGGGATGGAAATAAGTGGAATGAATGAGAACATTTTTTGTTCAATGTCATGCATGAATCATGATATTGAACAAAAAATTAATCTCTCGATCCACCCAAAAATCATGAATAGCCTGTTAAATAAACTTTGATGAACTTTATTTCCAAAATAACAGAAAGAAAGTTCGTTTTTGAAAAAATATAAATAAAATTTGTATGTTATCCCTGTTTATGTAATAAAAAAACAATACAACTTAAGACATTATGAATCGCTCTATTTGAATTCCTAGATCTGTCTGAATGTCTGATTAATTAAGTTACCATATACATAATGTCCGTGTTCTTTATATTGAAATGAAATCCTATCATATTGAAGTGTACATTCACGATTAAGAAAGGGAAAAATGAGTAACGGAGTAAAGAATATTGCAATTATTATCTTCATGGTGTTATTCTTTGCATACCTATTCTCCAGATCACTATCACCTTACTACTGGATGATTAAGGAGAGAAGCTATGCTGGAAACCACATAGAAGTGCATGTTTACAACAATAATGGAAGTGGTGATGGAATAAAAAAGAAGATAGAGAGCAATAAGAATTGCAATTGGTTCAAAGGGACATGGGTTTTTGATGATTCTTATCCTTTGTATGACTCTATGTCATGTCCCTTCATAAGAGACACATTTCATTGTGTCAAGTTTGGCCGCCCTAATCAACAATATCTCAAATATCGATGGCAGCCTTATGATTGTGATTTACCCAAGTATGTTCACTTAAGTGTCTTTTTTATTTTCTCAAACATTAATATGCGTTTTTAAGTTTTCATCTTCATCTATCAAGAGCTCGTTGGTACAAATGAAATGGGAGGCATCGGTTAAATTTGTTGAAATTAATCAAATTTTAGGTAATTAAGAGGTTGAATCAGCAATTATAGAAAAGTTACATTTAAAATATATTTAATTAATAAAATAAATAAAAAAATATAAAGCAAAATAGTTAAAATGATCCTATACAGTAACTTCAGTCAATTCGGCAAAAAAAAACTCGCATCTTACTTATTGGATTATTACTCAATTCAACGCACGGAATCAAAAGTTATGTGTTTGGTAAAAAAAGTTGATAAGGTGAAATATGAAATGATCAAATGGGCTCGAAATTCAGCCATATTGATTTCTAATATCTGTTTTTGGGAGACCCTTGAATGCCTAATTAATTGATAGTTTATCAATAGGACCAAAGATGTTACATGTTTGGTCACTAGTCAATTAGCCGTCTTTTCATTTATCTCGTTTGAGGCTTTGATCATCTAACTTTTCTTTTGCAAGTAATATGTAGGTTTGATGGCGAGGATTTTTTGAGAAGAATGAAGGGGAAGAAGATCATGTATGTAGGAGATTCTTTAAGCTTAAATAACTTTGAATCACTTATTTGCTTGATACATGGTGCAATTCCAGGAATCAAATACAAACAAAAAGCTACTCCTCTCAATTTTACAGTCACATTTCAGGTATCTTTTCTGACATATACACATCGACATTCAATGGTTCTGATTCATAAGGAGCGGTCTTGTATTTGACTTAGATTTTTCATAAACATATCTTATATGCTTTATCAAAATGTCACCTTTTGAGAAGAATCGTAGATTTAATTTAGGTGACAACTCTGATACCCATTTAAAAAATGGGGTACCGTACCTATCATCAACTTGATTGGTCCAAATCATTATATCATTTTTAATTTAGATTTAAATAATTCAACTGCAACATCATGATTGGTCCATGTGGACAAAGGTATGGTACTTTAGGGGTATCATAGAAACTACCTTTAATTTAATACATGTACACATTTAATAGTATCATTGACTCTTTGGTCATAAGATAACCCTCACTAAAACATTAAGCATGTACGTATTTAAGTATGTATTTATGTATTTCTAAGTAGTGACATGCTAGAAATGATAAGTCAATGAAAATGGTATAAATATTACATCAATAAAATTAATGAACAAAAAATATGACTTTTTTGTTCATTAAAAAAAATGAACAAAAGCATGACTTAAGTTACTACAATCATATCATCATAGTCACTACAATATACGGAGTAAATTTGGTCATCATGATCACTAAAGACCTAAAGTTATTATTATAATTATTGAAGTATAAAAATTCATATTTTTGCTCATTACCTTCCTTTATTTATATATTTCTCATTATTTTAAAATGGTATGTTGGATTCAAAAATTAAAATTTTTAATAGATTTAAAAGGTAAAAAACCATCATAAGCATGTTTTCGATTCTTTAAATAAAAAAGTGGAGCTAAGTATTTGTGTAGCCCCATAATTAAGGTCTTGTTTAGTTTAATTCGACAATTATCATCTATTCCAAATGTGTTGTGTAGCTTAGAAAATCTCCTTAATTTACTCATTTTTTTGTCAAAAAACATGTCGTCTTCGGAATATGGCTGAAAAAATCTCCTTAAATCTTTTCAAATTTACGAAATTTGATAAATTGAAAAGCAAATTTAATAAGATTCAACAATATTTTTATTAACAAAAAAAACTTAGAATTTATTTAATTCAAACTAAAATGTTCAAGGATGTTTTTACCTGGACTATTTTCGGCCCCAGACCAAATCAGACCAGACTTCTTCAGTTATAATATACATAAAGATCGGAAATTTACCAGACTAAATCAAACCAGATTAGATCAGACCAGACAAGACCGGACTTAAACAGATCAGACCAATTCAGATCAGATCAGGTCAGGACAAACCAGAACAGACAAGACTAGACCAGCAAATTTCAATCCAAGTAAAAACATCTTTCATCTTGAATGCTCACCAAAATCTAAGAAATATTTGAATATATAAAGTAAAAGAATATTTCTTTAATTATTTTGATTTCAATCTGATAACTTTGGTGCATGAGAATATGGATGATTCTAGTAACTTTGGGCAGACTCCAGCGTCACAGCATGTTCATAAAATTGTAGCAAAATAAAATAACAGAATTCGATAATATGTAATATTGTAATCCATGGGATATATTTCAAATGTTCTATATATAATTAGGGGATTAAAAGTAGAAATGATCATATCATGGTAGGTATGGGATCCATTATATACTCCGTATATTTATATTGGTCCAAGATTTTTGTCATCGAGAAAAGTGTAGTATTTAATCTTTTTGAATATACTGTTTGTTAATCCACGCGGGAAGTATAACAACACTTGATACAATTTGCAGGAGTATGAGGTCCAAGTAATATTATTTCACTCTAACTTCTTAGTAGACATTGAAGAAGAACAATTAGGGCGAGTGGTAAAGATGAAATCTCTGAAGAGTGGAGAAATATGGAAGCAAATGGACGTTTTAATATTCAATAGTTGGCTGTGGTGGACTAGGACTGGACGACAACAACCGTACGTAATAAGACTCATTATTTCATATGTAGGCTAATTGAATTGAAGTGGGCTAATCAATCCGCTGAAATTAATAAAATTCTGAAGCGGCTGAATTGACTAGATTTGCTAAATTATGAAAAAAAAAATATACGGAGTATTTAAAACATACTTCCTCCGTTCTTAAATAAATGCAATGGTCAACATTTCACACTTGCCGAGACATAACTTTGACCATTAATATATATAAATTTATATTAGTAAAAAATTTAAAAAAATTAGATATTGAAAATTTACAATGAGACAAATTTAACAATATTTTTTTCATAAAAATATATTCATACATTAATAAATAAAACGTAGTCAAAGTAGAACATGTGAATAATGTAAAATTCCATATGTTGCATTTATTTAAGAACGGAAGTAGTATTATATTTATAAAGTAAAGAATTACTTAGAATATGTATACCCCTAATTGCTTATATACACAGACAATTATATGTATACAATTGTATAAGAGAGTGTCTCCGTATGTACAAATTTTGTGTATGAAAATATATGCTCCCAAGTCCCAACCACTCGTAAATGTCAAAGAATAGATGCATAGGCACCTACTCCAAGGTTATGTTTGCTTCAACTTACCATATTTATGCTAATATTTTGAAAAAGGAGTTGAAGCATATATATGTATACAGGGTAGGGTATACTCTTCTCTCATACAATTAGGTGTACATTTATTGTTGTCTCTTGAAAATTGGAATTTGGGAATGAGAAATTTCCTCTTTCTGTGAATTTTGAAGTTCACTTTTTATAATACAGATGGGACTATATTGAGAAACTCGATGGTGAAATAGTGAAAGACATGAATCGCATAAGTGCTTTTGAAATGGTTATGCGATCATGGGCGCAATGGGTTGACAAGGAAATTGATCCAAACAAAACAAAAGTTTTTTACCAAGGGGAGTCGGCCTCCCCTTACCATTATAGGTATTGTACAACTTATCATTGATTTTCCATGTCTTTTCTTTGTCTAGGAACGGACACTAAAAAGAGATCAATAAATATTTACTTTTTATAACTGATTCTTGGTTGGGTTCTTTGGTCGTTCTCATTTAAAGGGTTGGAACTCTCCATTAAGTCCTTAGGGTCTTTATTATCTTTTTAATTTTTGCTTGGCCTAAATAAAAAATGAGGCTTATTTTGATTATAGAAAATGTCCTAAATAGGTGTGAAATAATGTGTTTCTCCAAAGTATGAGTATTGTTCCTCCCTAAAACTAATTTACCTATATCCAATTTAGAGAAATCAAAACATTTTTACTCGAATTATGTGACATTTGTTACTAGATATACCTTAAAGATTGTGCATTTGCTTCCTTGGACTGAAAACTCAAAATTTATTTTACAATTGGATGATCTAAATTTAGAGGAATGCTGATAATGGTGTAATTTGGGATGTTAAATTTTGTCAGATTTTGATTGGGTTTTCTAGATTTCAGTAGGGTTTGACATGTTTCGGCTAATTTTTTATATAACAAACCTCAGATTGTGAATCAAATGACTTATCATTTAGTTGTTTTTGTCAGTTTTGGTATTTGGCCGGTTCAATCTTAATCATATGAGTTCAATTGATTTGTTGATCGGTTTTAATTTATTGATATTATTCTGCTCCGTCCTAGGTGTTGTGGACTATTTATAATATGCATTTTATTTTGTGAGATATTACCCGAAATAGGACTAAAAAAGTTTGAAAATTCCAAAATAGGACTTCCATGTTTTTATTCTCAAAATATGACTAATTACTGTCATGTTTTGGCAGCACCAAACTTCAAACATGGCAGTATTTTTCAAATTTGGCAGTAATTAGTCCTATTTTGGGAATAAAAACATTAGTCCTATTTTGGAATTTTCAAACTTTTTTAGTCCTATTTCGGGAACTTTCCCTTCTTTATTAGTAGGATACTTTGTTAATAACAAAAAATTAATGTCATGTTGGTGATTTGTTGCTCAATACCTACAGGGGAAACTATTGGGGGAAGTCAGCAGACACAAACTGCAAGAGTGAGTTCATACCTTTGAATGAAACCATGATTTTCACCACACCATCACAATGTACCAACATTACAAAGAACATCTTGAGCCAAATGTCAAAGCCTGTATATTTACTGGATATAGAAATCCTATCGAGATTCAGGGTTGATGGACACGTGTCAGGCTACAACGGATACAACGGCACAGATTGCGCGCATTGGTGCCTTGCGGGGGTCCCAGACACTTGGAACTCCATCCTCTATGCTGCTCTTCTTCAAGATAATAATAATTAAGTTAATTTCTTTTGTGTTACATTTTCCACGACATTTCTTAATTATTAACATTATGCTTGAAAATTTTCAGTTTTTGCCTTGATTAATGGATCATGGCGTTTACTATTTAAAAGTTTTTTCTGATGAGAAAATTTGCTACGAAAAGTTTAAAAAAATGATAAGTTGATCACAATATTGCTAACATCTAATTTGTTTCAAAACTATCCCACGCCTTCAGAAATTCTTCAATGTGGTACTATAAAAAAATTGTAAAAGTCATAGCAATATATCCATTTAACTCTCCATTTTTGTCACTTAGCTTTATGGGATGTAATAGGATATTAGAATCAAAGGAGCATATTTTTAAGCACAATGTTTTGGATTGTGTTTTAGAGAAGCAACAAGAAAAATAGGATAGCCCTCCAACAAAACATAAATAGTATCCCTCTTATGAAAACGAAGTACTTTATGACTATTTCATGATTACATTAATGCCTTCAAACAACAACAACAAAAAAAACTTAATGCCTTGAAATTTTGTTATATTTAACTTGTAGAATGTTTATGCTTGTATGAGGTGTTTATACTTGTAGAATGTTTATACTTCTGTAGTTATAATATAAAATACACGGAGACCAGACGTTTACCATACCAGACCAGTTCAGACCAAACCAGATCAGATCAGACCAGACCAGTAAATTTCACTCCAAAAGAAAACATCCTCAGTGTGTGTCAGTAGACACATCCTGGTTTAGGTCCGGTTTAGCAATAATCTGTTTCAGTATCCAAATCTAAGAATTTAATATGAATTTGGTTAAAATACCAGAAAATCGGTATACCGCACTTACCGTACTGAAAAATACCGGAAAATACCGAAACATTAGTATACCGTCATTTTTGATAAGGTATACCGTCATACCGTACCGATTTAATTCGGTACGGTAACGGTAAATGTTTTCAAGTACCGCGGTATACCGGTATAATACCGTATCGAATCCCTACCCAACAATTACTTTTAATTCTAAAATATAGTAAAATTCCATTACCATTTTGAAGCCCAAAATTAATTCATAGGTTGGTTACAAATACCAAAATATAAAAGTAAAGGCCCAATTTCCCAAACTCGCGTGCTATAAACTTCTAGGCTTCTACTATGTAATATTCAAACAAACTAACCCTAATGATTAATGGGTAATGTACTCATGTCCAGAAACATGTTCATCTTGTTCCAAGAACTTGCGAGTCGCGATGGCTGAGCCGTTGAGCAGACCATGCCACTGCCGCATTCCACCACCACGGTGCCCATGTCTACAGTGCTCTGCTCAGCGGCGAACGCAGGATTTTTTATGTGCGGGGGCAAAAAAAGTTTTGAAGCAAAATTTTATTACCGCAAAATTAAGCTTAACTTTATATAAACATAAAAATAATCACCAAATTTGAACAAAATCATACACCAATGTAATACTAGAAATAATGCTAGATACATCATATAAAGTCAACATTGTGTATTTGTGTACCTTAACAATGTAAGCACACTTCAAAAACACAAAATGTAAGCATGTAAATTGTAGCTTGTTCAACAGCTTTGGGATGAGAGGAGGAGCCGCTGCTCTTTGCGGAAGTCACAAGGTTAATTTGTGAAATGTAAAAATCAATTTTATATTTTAATTAGTGGAGTTAGGGACCCATCTATTAGTCAACACAAGTCTATACGGATAGATTATAAATATGGGCTAAGAGTTTGGGCTAAAATACGGATAGTGTGCAGGTTCCTTATTTTAATAATTGATAGGAGTACTGTATACTTTTAAATTTTGGGGGACTACATGTCTATTTATAACTTTTTATATACCTAAAAAATATTTTTTTTTGGGGGGGGGGGGACAACAGCTCCTACTTGCCCCCCACCAGGTCCGCCGCTGCTTCTGATTTAATTTCATCCCGACCGGAGACATCACATAGCACGGTGGTTTCAACCGTCCAGGCGCCCGGTTCTTCCTTGGAGCAGCCTTCCTTGTCCGGCACGGCATCTTATCCGCATCTCTCCTCTTCTCGGTTCACCTTGGCGCCGCCGCCTCTCAACTCATACTGGCTCTTCAACATGTTGAAACCCTTTCATTGACAAAAATTGTCACGACGCCATCACCTTTCCCCCATGCAGTCCCTGCTTCACTTGCTTGGGGCGATCAACTTTCTCCAACCTTCTCCGGACCCACCATGACTGGCGAGTTTGGTATCTCCTTGTTTGAGTCTTCGTCACAGCTGCGGCAACTAAGTTCTATGATAACATCTAGCCCACTTGCTGCTTTATCATCCTAGTTATCGTTTTCTACCCCCAATGTTACAAATATAGTTACCGCCTGATTGGTTACGGTTGAGAATTATCTCTTGTGACGTACTCAATTTGAATCTTTTTTGGTGTCCCATTACCCATGGCTTAATGAGAATTTTAGATGGTTCGATTTTCGCACACCACTATCTATTTATGATAATGTTCGTCATGAAATCCTCACTCTTGAATATCATTCGGGGCTTAAAATTGATCAAACTGTGAGATCGTGGTTGTTTGTCACTCTTTCACGTGACACTTATATAGAAGTTCATGATATGTGTTTTTCTCATGTTAACCGATTCCAAACTTTTTTGGGATTAAGATTTCATTGTGGCTGTGGGTTGAGGATAGAATTTCGGTATCTTAACATATTCAATTATATCAAGTGTTTTGAGCTATTCCATAGGGGCTCAACCGCTCAAATACTTGAAAGCGGTCGTGGTCACCTTAGAGCATCTCCAATGGTAAAATGTGCACGGTGCACACGTGGCATGAGAAATAACCACATAAACATTAGTAAATAAATTCTTTCTCTTCTTATTTGAATGATTTTATACAGTTTTGGTAAATTTTTCTCCACACTGTCAAGGAGACCGTCTAGATGTTGACATTGTTGTTGACATTGCAGGAAAAAACTTACCAAAATTGTATAAAATCATTCAAATAAGAAGAGAAATAATTTATTCGCTAATATTTATGTGACTATCACTCATGCCACATATGCAACGTAGACATTATAGCATTGGAGATGCTCTTATAATAGGAGTTATGAATACTTTCTTTTCCTACACTTTCCAACTACATCCGTGCCATTCAGTTGTTTTAAAGGTAGACCATTTTTTCGATATGTTGGAGCGGAAGATAATTTTTCAACATCCAATTACCGATATTAATGTAGTTGGGGAAAACTGTCAAATAGGTTCTCGAACTTTCATAAAAAAATCAATTAAGTCCTTCTATATGAGACTCTGTCCGGCCGTCGCGATTTGGGGCGGTTCTCGGTGGAATTTTTTGATGAAATTTTTTGAGCATCTTATTCATCAAGTCTAGTTTACTCATACCAAATTTCAGCAAAAAATTCTATTGGGAACGCATTCAAATTAATTCGAGAACGCAAAAATGCGCAGTTATCTTCAAGAATTAATTTGAATGTGTTCTCGATTGAATTTTTAGCTCAAATTTGGTATGAGTAAACTAGACTTGATGAATAAGATGCTCAAAAAAATTCATCAAAAAATTCTACCTGGAACCGCCCCATATCGCGATGGCCGGACAGAGCCTCCTATAGAAGGACTTAATTGACTTTTTATGAAAGTTCGAGGACCTATTTGACAGTTTTCCCCCATATAGCTATGAAATGATTCTCTATCCTTACTCCTTAGTGCGACATTTCGATGAATTCACATCTAAATGAGATTTTATGCTCACTTGGCATGTCACATTGTCACTGCGTACTCACCATAATGTGTACTTGGCATCAAACTAAAAGAATAGCTTCTCGATCATGTGTTAAAATTAACATGACTACATGAGCAAGTAAATAAAGTGAAAAGAGATGTTTAACCCCGTAGAATAAAGTGAAAAGAGAAGTTTAAATTGTAATTCATCAAGTCAAATATATTATTCTTTAGAATATATAGTTAGGACTTAGGAAAGACTAACCAAAGAGAACCGTTCGTGCTCTCTTTATTCTCCCCGTCCTGCCACCCCTCCCTCCCCATCTGATTTTCTTTCACCTCTATTCATTAGATGTCTTTCATAAAAGATGTTTTTAAGCCTTGGAAATCATTTATTCTAAAAACTAGGGACACAATTCACAAACAGAATCCATCCTCATCTCATTAGTTTCTACGAATACTACAATGGAGTGATGGACTGATGGAGCTACAAGAAGGCAAGAAGCCTAGGATTGTATTTTAAATGGGATTCTATGCTCGCTTGTTTGGTCTCTGCACCATTGTCATTGGTGCTTCCATATTCATAGGTTCAAAGGAATCCTTAATTATCCCCATAGATATATCAAACCTATCGTGTCTTAATTTATATTAGGCTCTTATTAGGCTAGATTTGGGTTGCTTTGTGGCGGAAAAGGTTCTTGATGCAATAACTAATACTCTAATACTCCGTACATAATCTTATCCACATTAATGACATTATTATGGCCTCAAGGGTGACTTTGCGCTATGCGAAGTGCATTTGAAGTTAAAGGATTTCGTTTTTAGATATTTCACACTAACGGATAATTGTTACCTCAATGGCTCAATAACAAAAGTCAAAAAAAATAAAATCACTACTAAGTAATTGTTAAAAATAATATTTAAAAGTGCTTTCATTAGCTCAATTTCTCGTTTTCTCAAGAAGCAAATAAAGGCAATCAAATTCCTCGTTTTTACCTCATATCCCTACTTCACTATCGCTTCTTTAGCAACACAAAGGCATTACATAGAAATCAATCCATTTTCATCCAAAAAAATAGAAATCACTCCATCAACATCGGTTCACGTGTGT